ATATTCCTCAGGGGCTTGCATCCTTTAATCTCCCTTTCTGTGTTTTTGTTTGTTTTTCCATCTTTCTCTCCACATTTTTGTGCTTCTTAAATCCCCAGAGTCTTCTCTTATGACTTTTATTTCAGCCTGTGTGCACTCACTCACACAGGCACCCAATCCTGCAGCCACTAAGCCACGTGAATGGTCCTTAACCATGCAGAAAATCTCATGGAATTATATGTTAAAAAGAGGTACTGACATGATGAAACATTTGTAGGTCAGATTATAATTAGAGTAATGGGTCCAGGATCATCGGCAAAATAGATTTCCAGAAGGGTCTAGATTTAGTTGAAGGGATGACATGAGTGATGTGGGACCAGGGGTTGAAAATAAAGACAGAGCAACAAAAAACAGGGAGAAATTGAAAATCCTCAAGAGAGGAGGAACTTCTGTGAGGGAGCTTTGACTAAAGCAATTCAAACAACAAATTCTATTTTCTAGACTAAGATACTTTTAAGTTTTGCATTAAGGTATTATGTTCTGTGCCTACAATTGGTTTCCTGCTCTTTTTCACTGCCTGTAGTAGAATCAATGTCACTGTTGGCCTCTAAGCAGTTTCCTTTTTGGATTTTACCCTGGGCAAAGGGTAGGTAACAATGAATGATGATGAAACACCATTACAGTTACTAACAGTAGGAAATTACTTGATCAGCATTTTGGGCCCAGCACCACATTGCAGAGGTCAGCAGGAATTTTTCCATTGGTATCAGTGGGTTTCCTATTAGGTTTGCATTATCACTTACAAGCTGAGCTGACTAAATATTCCAGGCGGGTGTTTAAGGACGTGTCTCCTAAATTGTGCTTGTGAATGAACTCTTCATGTCACCTTTGCTTCCTATAAAGGAACTTTCACTCCTTTTGAAACTTAGTATTACATTCTCACTCCTTGCATGCAGCTGGTCACTACAGGTAGAGAAGGCAGAAAACCAGAGCTGTCAGTACTCTGACAAAGCAGCAACATTACCTTTTTAGCTGTATTTCTACAAAGAGAATGTTCAAAGGGAAGTTATTTCTGGATGATTAATATCTAATTTGTTTTCTCCATCTTTTTCCTCTTCAGAAGTGAACATCCACTGGCTCAGCTGTATTGCCACTCAATCATGGAGCATCATCATTTTGATCAATGCCTTATGATCCTGAATAGTCCAGTGAGTGCCACATTGCTGTGTATGCTGAAGGAAACTATTCTACTTTCTATTTTTAGGCTCTGGATAGAATCCCACCCTTATATGTTCTTAAGTGCTCTTTATTCCTTTTTGGGTAAAGAAAGCAAATGCACCAACATGGAAATCACAGTTTTGTTGCTGAGTGTCACCAAAGCCTTCCAAGTGCTGCCTGATAAGGGAAGCCTTGCTAACATCCTTCTGAGTACCTGCTTCCTTGGACCAAAGGAAACAAAAGGCTTTGCTGCCATTTTCATGACCTCTTAGGAACCACCAAACAAACCCCAGTCCTTCCTCTCCTTTCAAAAAAGCATTCCAGCCTACACATACACAAAGCAGCCCTGATGAGACCAAACCAAACACTGCTGACATTCCAAAGTGAAGCCAAACCTAAATTTAGTAAATATGCAAATAAAACTACATTCCTCTTTTTTGATGCTATTAACTAATTCTCAAGACCTGTTATTTAGCATTCACAGTCCTTACAAAGGACTGCTCCTTTTGTGCCACAGGTTGAGGTACTTCTGGCATCCTTTGTATTGCAGTGAGCCTTTGCTATTTAGATAGGCAAATAGGGAAAAACAATGGAGGTGAGTTCCAGTTCACCAGCTCTGCAGTGCTTTGGTTTAACATGGGGCTGCTGAGCTCATATTTCTATTTAATAACTTGTTATTTATGCTGCTTCATAAAAGGAAAATAATTTAATTTGCTAGAGGTGCATGGGCAGGTACGGGAATCTGTTATAATTCCTCTGCTTCAGGGGAGGGGAAGGAAGAGGAAGGAGAAGCTGTGATTCAGCCAGTGACAAATTTAATTTTAATGAATGAAATGGACTTGAAGGCTTTCATGTTGCTCTGCTTGCAGTTTCATTTTGTAATAGCCAGTGATGATGTCGCCACTGTGCGGCTTTCTGCCATTGCTCAAGAAGACTGAAATTTTTATTTTTAAACTAGGGAATCTCCAAGAGGAAGGAGGGTAAAAGAATGAACTCAGAAATCAGCAAGTGACTCGTAATGAAACTCAGAGACGCTTTAGCAAACTGGTGTGCTGCTGCCCATTTTACTGATAGCACTGTTTTTGGCTTTTTTTGTAAAGGGAAATCAGATTCTCAGCAGCCTTTCCATTGAAGAATACAAGGCTACACTGAAAATGATAAAACAAGCTATTCTTGCCACAGACCTGGCACTATACATCAAGTAAGTCAGAGGAAGCTTTGCCTGGGTAATCACTGCTGGATATTAGCATCATGTCAGCATCCTGCTAAATCTTTTTACTTCTTTTAAAGGAGGAGAGGGGAATTTTTCGAACTTTTAAGGAAGAAGCAGTTTAATTGGGAAGATCCCTCACAAAAGGAGCTATTTTTGTAAGTAAAAGCAGGTGAATCAAGAAGTCAGTTAATATTACCGGGTACCAAATTTCCCACGCTGTGTTGCTGTGAACTTCATTAAACCCAGCAGGTCTTTGTGCTCTGGGTCTGTACAAGCTGGCCCTGTCACATAGGTCACTGAACTCCCTGGGTCTGAAATACTAAGTGTACAACCTTTTCTGTATAAGAAACTTTGTTAAATAGCATGTGGAGGAGTTACATTTATAAATTTGATTTAATTTCACTTGTTTTTCTGACTTAATGTTCCTTGAAATTCTATATTCTATTTTACTAGTCCTCAGCTTGGTGACAACATACATTTTACATAGATTAATTTATCCCTTTCTTTCTGTTTGTTCTGCAGAGCAATGCTGATGACTGCTTGTGACTTATCAGCCATAACCAAACCATGGCCCGTTCAGCAACGGGTACGTGCTTAACTTCTAAGATTTCCTAAATGCAAACTGCATTAAAGTTCATTTCCTCCACCCAGTTCTTATTGCAAAGGCAGTGGTGGAATGCTGAGCTGGAGTCTCACAATGTCTGGGGGGGCTAATATGATAAATTCTAAGGAGAGAGAGGTAGGAACCACTCTTGTTTAAAGGTAGCAAGGAAACTTTTAGAGCTCTCAATGAGTGAAATCTCTTACAGATTGCTGAGCTTGTGGCTACTGAGTTCTTTGATCAAGGAGATAAAGAGCGGAAGGAACTCAACATAGAACCCACGGTAAGTGCAGAATCACCTCTTGCAAAATGTCTTTTGGAAATGGCACCTAAAATTTCTCCCACTGACCCCAACAGAGGACCAGCTCCTTCCCTGTCTTCCTAGTAGGCAGTTTTGTTCTGTGGTTCCAAAACACCAATAATGTGTTATTATCTGTGAACCAGAAGAACAGGCTTTCTTATTTCCTCTAAGTCAGTGTTACTAAACTGGCTCTGAAATACATTCCTAAATTGGTACCTATTTGCAGCTATCCAAACCCAGTAAGTTTGTCTGGCTGTTTGGGCTCTGTCAGCCCAAAGCCAATCTCCAGAGGGAAGCCATGCAGTCCAATTCCCTTCATTATAACACCTATAATGGTCCCCCGCTGTGCTGAGCTTGCTGTGCTGTTTAAGGTGCTGCTTTTTAATTCCAGATTCTCTTTGCTTTTGGTTTTTTATTTAATGCATTTAAACACAAAGCTTATTTACTTATTATCTGCAGGATCTAATGAACAGAGAGAAGAAAAACAAAATTCCCAGCATGCAGGTTGGATTCATAGATGCTGTTTGTTTGCAGCTGTATGAGGTATGGTGCCTAAGGAAGAACAGTAAGTCTCTGAAACCAGAGCTGTTCACTGGTAGACACAGATTTACAATTAGAATAAAAATCAAATTAAAACCTAGCCCCTTAGTTAGAAAATATTTTTTTATTTTATATTATATGTGGTTCATATGTAGAAATTATTCATAATTCAATAATTATTCATTGAATAAATTATTATTTTAGTATTTATAATTAGTTGTGTATTTGTCTGATTAAGGTATTTTTTCACAGGTTTTTTAAACCTAGTTAAAACGCTGTCCTCTGTGCAATTGGTGTTATATGCTGGATTATCAGGGCAAGTCACAAGACTAATGCTTTGACCTCTAGGGAAAGAATGGTATCCAGGTAGTGCATTGATTGAAAATGTTTAGGAGTTTTAAAGAATTCAGAATTTGTCATACAAAAGGTGATATGCTATGTATTGGAAATTGACCCGACACTTCCCATCCCATTCTTTTTCTTCTCTTTCATCACACACCAAAGTATTGCATGAGATAATTCACTGAAATGCTTTTTTTTTATCTTGGTTACAAACTGTATAAGAAACTGCTTGGCCAAATATAGTGTGAAGCACAACATAATGATTTCTGGGTTGTTGTTTTTTTTCAACCAGTACAACATTAGAGTGAAAGTCTGTTTATTTGAACTGTAGCAAGTATTTTACAGAAACCAAGGTGAGAGAAAGAAAGGAGATTAACAGATAACCGAATTCTTAAGAACCTTCCAGTGCAAGGAACAGCATGACTACTTGAATTTTTCCCTCTGACACAATAAACTTTTCTAAAAAGAATGCACTTTTACCAGTTCAAAGGAAACAGGCATAAAGAAAGGGAGCTACTACCTGCTGCCTGTGAAAATCAAGTGTTTCTGTGCTGTGGAAACTGTCAGGAAAATAAGGCAGCCTTTGCTTTGAAGCCTCAGAAAACTTTCTACAGTAGGAGAAAGGCACAGTTTGGACAAACAGAAAACTCTTTAACAGAACACCTGAGCAGGCTTGAATGCCCACAGTTCTAGAGCCTGAACATCTATACTTCTTCCTGCTAGGGGAGAGTTTTACCTTTCCATTTATGAAAAGACTAGAAAGACTGGAATTATTTACTCTGAAATATGTACTAATGTACACTTACCAAGTGATTCCAATCCAAATTGTACCCAGCTCTTGTGTTAGGTATCCAGTGCAGTTAATGATCTACAAGTCCTTCCCCTGAGTTGAGAAACCTGAAAAAATGAGAGACATGTTTCATTCTCCATTCTTAAATTAAAAATTGAATGCAATCTGTTTTCCATGTTCTCAATTTGTTTCAGGCCCTAACGCACGTGTCAGAGGCCTGCTCCCCTTTGCTGGATGGCTGCAGAAAAAACAGGCAGAAATGGCAAGCCTTGGCTGAGCAGCAAGAGAACCTGATTAATGGAGAAAGCAACCAAGGCAAACGGAACTGAGATGCCAATTTCACCACCACAAGCTCAAGTTCACATAGGAGACACAGTAATAGGGGAGTACTACATTTTGCTAAACACTGTATGAATTTGGCTTATGTTTTGCCACTGCTGTATTATTTTTTTCACATTTCAAGATATAGCACGACCGTGTAGATGCCAAGGTTATCTGAAGACAGTATGTTTCTTTTATTACATCTGACTGAGATGGAAAAAGGGGTGGTTTTTGCTCCCCCACCCCACAAGAAGGTACTGGTGCAGGCACTGACTGTGCCCTAGAGCCTGTTGCTTTACAGATGTACATAGTTGTTTAGTGATCATGTTGTGGCCAGTATCTGAAAGACTACTGCATTTTGCACCTTTTCTCTCCCTCTTCCCGTCTTGCTGTGTTGTGTTATAAAAGTATTGAGCAGTCTTGCCTGTTCTCTTTCCAGAGGTTCAGAGGAAAGATTGGGACTCACTCTGGGGTGCCTATTCCAGCATAAACTTGCTAACCTCTCTCAGAAAGCAGAACTGGGCTCTGAGGTGAAAAGCCCCAAAATCTGTGCACCCAGTAGGGTTTGAGTTTTTTCCATATTAGATGGAAGTCTTAGAAATTTCTTCAGCTGGAATAACACATTTGCTAAGACCTCTGTGAATTACTAGGCAATGAGAATCTTGGGAGTCTTGTGTCTGAGTTATCCAAGCCCAATGGGAACTGCTTGAAGATGGATGAGATGTCCTGGTGTAACTGACAGGCTGCCACGGAAGAAGGGCTCCCACAGAAAGCTGCAAGAAGCACGCAGAGAAACGGACACAAAACAGGATTGCTTTTGTACGCTGGTTTTAACTTCATTTGGAAGTTGATTTCAACACCATCTAACCAACAGACTGGATCACAGACAGAAGAGAGTGACTGCAAGAGGTGAAAAGCTGAATCAGAATGATGCAGGAAGGGCACGCTCCTGGTGACCATCAATGACTGATTCTTCAGGCCAGTGTTACCATGAAATGGCTGTGACCACTTAGAAGAAAATTTCATGTTAACATCTCTTAAAAAGCATTTTTGACAAAATGATTAATTATAGTGTCTTGAAGAAATAGGAAAAAAATAATACCAAAAGCAAAAATAGCCAAGAGTGCTACAGGGATTTGCCATTTCTATGTGAGGCATTAATGTTCTGAAAAGTAAGAAATCAATTAACTTGCACTAGTAAAAAAAAAATTGGTGTATTATTTAAATGAAGATGATTAATAAAAACGGTTTTGAATTGGGACCCAATTAAAGAAAATATACACATTGGACAAATCCCAAAAGAGGAATACAACCCTTCAGATAGACAGGATTAGGAGATGAAAGTCAACAGTCTAAAATGCATTAGAGCACATGTAACTTTGGCTGCACAGAGACACACAAAATGTTCCAGTTTTTAATCTGTAATAATTGTTTTTTAGTTAAAATCAGCAATTGTATTTGGCAAAAGTAGCACCTTTGGCACTGCACTTTGAAGTGTGGGAATTTAGTTCTATCACAATAAACCAGGAAATTCTACTGGAAACTGCAATAAATTCTTCTTCCCAGGAGCTTGCCAGCCCAACTCATAGGAGCTGGTCAGAAAGATGGGGGAAACTTCCCCTTTTTAGCAATTTCTTTATTTAGATAAACAATGCCAGAAGCTAAGAAAAGATGAAGCAAATGTTTCAAAATGTTTGATGATACTGAGTTATAGAGTTGAAATTTTTTAAATGTAGGACAAGGTATTCTGGTATTTAGTCAATAACCTAAATTATTTGTCACTGAGTCAGTTCTATCTCGTACTTCTCTAGTGAGCACCAATAATAAATTATTGCAGAGCTGTGAATTTGAAAACATTTTTCTACAGAAGCATTTCTCCTTATTCTGCCCCAACAAATAAAAGAAAATAAAAAAAAAAAAAAAAAAAAAGGATGGATTTCAACACTCACTAAAATTTCCAGGACTCCTGTTGTGCAGTATTCCTGCCCCCACCCCCCAACACAACCCCCAAAAAAAGGGTTTTAGGTACTTTTTGATAAATAGAAAACTCTGCTTCAGGATTTGCATAGTCCTTGTATAGTCTTCTCCTTGAGTGCTTGAGATACTGAAATATAATTATTATGCTGATGAGATACATATTTAATATAAATAGGAATAAAATATATGTATATAAAGGTGTATTCTTGCTATTATGGTTGAGACTAGTAACTCATGGTGACAACCCAGCAGATAACTATGATGATATCCCAGTGCAGTGATGTAACTTTGACATTAATATTCCAGTATTTCTTTGCTATATTGTGTGTTCAGCAAAGCTTTATTATAACTAAATTTATAAATGCTACAAAGGAGTGCTGGATTCATACCTTTGACTTGAAAAAAAGGGCATGATGTTACATTTTTTTAAAGGTTCACTTAAAATGAACAGTTATACAATATGTGCATATATTTAATTACATATCCATACACATTTATCCCTCAGAATCCCTTCCACCATAAATGTTGGAACATACATATAAATACAGTCCCTAGCAAATAAACATTTAAATATCATAACACTCCTGTATCTGTATATATTTCTACAAAACCAAAGCCTTTAAACTACTGGTTTAAGAACTTTAAAAGCATAGAGTGCTGTATTTCATGAAATTCAAAGCCTTTTTTGCAAAGTGTTTTTCTTTGCCTGAAGGCAAAATCAGAGTGTGCTGGTTCCATGCCATGGCTTTGTTTGAATCCCTTGCAGAAACAGCTCCTTCCTTTCATAATTTAGATAGGGAACAATATGGGAAAAAAACCCCCAAAACAACCAAACCCAGACTAGGTACAGATTTGCTGCTTGAAGTTCACTGTCTTCAGAATTCAATATTTTCCAAGCCAGCTGGTGGCTTACAGCCGCACCGCTGTTAATTATTTCATCATGAGCTGTGTATCTCATTATTTCAGTCAGCCCTCAAACACATTCTCCCCAGTTTACATTGTCTAGTTGTAACAATCAGTGTGCTTACACAAGAAACCAGCTGAAATGGAGTTTATCACTTTGTCAGTTCAGCCTTAAGTCCATTGAAACCATTGTCACATCTGAGATTTAACTCTCTGGGTACAACAATTTGTCCTGCTAATTCTTAATACTCCTCTCAGTGAAGACAACTGAGTTAGCATCCTACTTGATCTCAGATATAAACATGTTTTCTTTCAAACTCACTCCACAGCACAGCTGAATGCTTAAAGGACACTTTTATTTCTTGGTTTGTTCTGAAAAAAATTGCTTGTGTTAATATACACACAAATTACTGATTACCCCTACCTCTTCTAATTCCAAATAACAGTGAGACTCTTGAGCTTGTAGGTGCCATTTCTCTTCCAAGAAATTAGCCACACATGCAATACTACCTGTAGAAGCCCTAGGTTTTCTATTCTCTCACACAGTTACAGAAAGGGGTGGGGGGGGGAATAATGTAATGCTGATTTTGGAGATGGTGTTAATTTTTAATTAGAAGCAGCTTACAGTTAAGAGCAGATTACTCATATCTTCACAGAGCACATGTACAAGTCAGCTACTGATAAAAGGAAACAATTAATTTCACTGATGATAGCTGATTTCTGAGAGAGAACCAAAGCCTGTTTATATGCATCACCCCCTGACAATTGCATGCATCTTTTCAATTCCAACCCAATACATTTTACCTGATAGTGGCATGAACTGACAAATTCAGGGCACTTATCTAACTCATACATAAGGATTTTCAAAATTACCAGGTAAATTATTTTCCAACTCATTATACAGAAAGATAATGAAGAATCAGATCTATGCCCTTAAAATGAGAGGAGTGATCCAGCTGCTGTCTCTTTCAGTTATGCACAAAAACATAGCAAAGACTTCTTATGGAAAAAAAACTGCCTCACTTGTAATAAATCCACATGTTTCTAAAGGTTTTATAAAGACCTCATATTTCAAGCAAACTTATGTAGGAAGTATTCATTCAGAGTTTGTGATGCTGCAGGTCTTTTCTTCATGTCAAATTACATGCAGTTTACATTCCACAAGGTTTCAGCTTTATTTCCCAGTTCCCTGCTGTACATTTTCAGGGGCTTGCACTAATTTAAAACATAAGCTTGAATAGCAGAATAAGTTTGGCCAGAGTATGGTAAATAGCAAGGGCTGAGTTTTTAGGTATGGATTTTGACAGGAAGAAGAAACATCACAGAATCTGTCCTGATAATTAGTGACACTTGCTAATTGCAGGATATTTTATCTTGGTCGTTGCAAGGTGAATGGAAATTGCACGGGAAAGTTTCTTTTCCACATAAGGAAGGTTGTTTCCATAGAGAAACTCATATCTGAGTACCCAGTGTTTGTAAATGTGTATTTATGGGACAATGCTCTGCAATTGCTGGCTCCCACAAACTCCCACAGCACGAGCTTGGCAAGCCAGGGCCTCACACCTGCTCAGATGCCCACCTGAAGTCAATGTGATTCCCATTTACCTCAGGGGGAGCTGTATAGAAAGTGAAAGAATGGGTTAAATCCACCTTTTTTTTTACCTGTAAAGAGGGACCAAACCCTTACCCTTGGTGACAGCTGCCTCACCTGCTCTATGCTGGTTCAGCTATTCCCACTGATGCCCAAGATACCTTACAGATGTAACTGAAGTTAGAATTTGAGTCCTCTTTGTATTCACATTGCAGACACCTGCATGTGTCTCTTAAAGAATGTAGTTTGAAATGCACTGTAAATAGTTTTAACATACATTCCTACCACAGTTTAATAAAAACCTTAATCACAGTCACTAGTCACTGAGTTTGTCCATTTGTATTCTTATATCTTTTAAAAATACCTGAACAAATATATAGTTTCTGGGCACAGTAT